TGAACTTGCAGAAAGAGAGACTAAAAAAGCAATCCCATTTACCATCGCACCAAAAAAATTAAGCTACCTAGGAATAAACTTAACTAAAGAGGTAAAAGACCTCTACTCAGAAATCCCTTTACCTTTTTCACCCAGCTCCCGAAGCCCCTCCCCTCTGACAGCTGTCAGTCTGTTCTCTGTACCTATGAGTCTGTTACCACCCACTGGTATTCTCAATCACTGTCTGTCATTTTCGTCTCAACCATCCTGGTGCTTATTTGTCTAGAGCAGTGGTTCTGAAACTGGGTCCCTGGCCCTGCAGCAGCATCTGGGAACTTTCTAGAAATGCAGATCCTCAGCCCCACACCATACCTACTAAATCAGAAACTCTGGGGTTGGCACAGCCGTCTGAGTGGGGGGTTTTGTTTGTTTTCTTATTTGTTTTTTCAATTTTAGTAATCTGTGTTTTAACACCCCCTCCCCCAGGATCTGATACTGGTTTGATGTTCCAGAGCCCTAGATTCTTGAAAATCCCAGGGCATGCCCCATGCTCATGCTCAGTTCTGAAGTGCTGTTAAAACATGGGAACTCCTTTATGTTCAACAAAGGAAAAAACTATAATCACATTGAAAGCGTGAGTAGGAAGAGATAAATAAACACTATACAAGTGAAAGCTGAGATAATTTTAAAGATCAATGGAGAAAACATGGCAAATGCTGCACGCTGGTGTGGGATGACTCACTCGATGAGAGGAACAATTCTGAAAACACGAATCAAGCAGTGTCTGGGATGCAGTGCCTGGGCGACAGACAACAGTCTCAGGACACAAGGAAAATGATCTCAAATTCGTTGAAATGTTAACACAGGAGTGGAAACTCACTGGCTTCATGGGAGTTCGGAGAATGCTGGGCATCTGTGTGTTGTGCTGGGGTTTAGACTGACAGGTTGGTTCCTAGTTAGGGATGTTTCCACAGGTGAAAGGCTCACCTGAGTCCGTAAAGTATCGATGCTCTAGCGCAGTGATGGCGAACCTATGACACGCGTGTCAGAGGTGACACACGAACTCATTTTTTTGGTTGATTTTTCTTTGTTAAATTGCATTTAAATATATAAAATAAATATCAAAATATAAGTCTTTGTTTTACTATGGTTGCAAATATCAAAAAATTTCTATATGTGACACGGCACCAGAGTTAAGTTAGGGTTTTTCAAACATGCTGACAAGCCAAGCTCAAAAGGTTCACCATCACTGCTCAGCACGAACCAGTCTTCCTGGACCAGACCATGGGAGTTAGCTAACCGAAAGTTTTTCCTTACAGATGAAACTGCTGTTTTAGAATAAAAAGAGATGCCTGGTAGGAAGTGCATCAGCAAGAAGGAATTATGTCAGGTTTTAAACTTTGAAAGACCAAATCACATTCGCATTTACAAAGTGAAAATCCAAGCATTATCTTTGGATCTACCCCAGTGGATCTATAAGCCATTACTTACAACCAAACGCACCCACAGGAACTACATACATACATACCCAGGGCCATTAAAATTCAGCGTTTACAATGCAGAACCCCCACCCTATCTCCTGAGATCCCGATTCATTCAATTGGGGTGGAGCCCATTTTTAACAAGCTCCCTAAGGGATACTGAGGCAGATGGTCCCCGGACCACAGGGCCGATTGCCATAATGGAAGAAAAATTGGAATCAAGAGCCGTACTGAGTCGCTTCACCAACACTGCTGGGGAGAATGCAGCCTGAAACCAAAACACCACCCTCCAGAGCCCCGATTTAGCACTTGTTCCCACAGCACAGATCAGGGAAGTCAGCAGCAAATGAGTAACGTGTTACATAATTTGCTTTTCTGTATGCAGAACCTTAATCCACCAAAGAGAAGTTAAAATCATATAAAAAGCAACAGCCCACCCCCAAAACAAATGCTGGGGAAGTGTAGCCAGGATCTCCCCAGCCACCTTCCTCCTCATCTGCTAGACAAAGAGGAGCCCTCCTCAGTGCTGAAAACCCCATCAGCTCGCCCTTGTGCCACTGGGAACTGGACCCTTTGGTAAAAGTGGTCAGGAAAGGGGGGGGGGAAGAGGAGGAGGAAGAGGACATTTGTTTCACATGAGCACTGACTTGCATCATCAAGGCTTCCCTCTTGTTGAAAACATAAGTGGAAACATGTACTTGACTATACCTCTGACCCGTTGCTGGAAAGTTCTGGAACCATAACACACCTTCTGCCTTGGGTCTTGTCCAGGAACCCCAAACCACCCTCTCTCTCTAGAAAGAATTCCCAGTCTTTTCCTCTCCCCAGTTACCTCAAGACCTGAATAATAAGCTAGTTCTCACCAGAGTGTTAAAGGCTAACAGTGGTTGGGGCATTTATCACCCCAGTGACCACAGAAGATGTCAAGGTGGGAATGGCAAAGGCATACCATGTATATAACATATGTATTACTCCTAATGAGCCAACCTCAGGGGTTCTCAACACTGAGCTAGAGACATCCACTTTGAACTCATTGGAGTGTATATTGTAAGTTTCAGAGGAATGAGTCCTTATCTATCTTTTTATTATGCTACTCCAAGCAGCTAACATAGTGACTAACCCTTAGGAAGTTTTCAAAAAAATAAGTATTGAATTGACTTACATTGACATCTAATGTAAAACTTAATTGCCACCCTCATATTGCCACAATGCATTAGAGTCACCCAGGGTACTTGTGAAAAAAACCATCTTCTCCCTGGCCACTGTGGCTCCGTTGGTTGGGTTCATCCTGTGCACCACGAGGTTTCCAGTTCGATTCCCAGTCTGGGCACATGCTTGGGATGTGGGCTCGACAACCAGTGGGGAGCATGCAGGAGGCAGCTGATCTATGTTTCTCTCTCCCCCCCCCACCTCTATCTCTCTAAAAAACACACAATAAAAATATATTTAAATAAACAAATACAAATAAAAGCCCATCTTCTGGGCTCCACCCCAGACATAGTAAATCAGACTCTCCGGGGCCTGCATTCTTATCAAGGTGCCAGGCAATCTTACACATGTGCAATCTGAGAACCACTGCCTTCACCTTACGGGGAATCTCCAGGACACCAATGCTATGGGATGTAATTAAACAACAGGGCCCTTTGGGAGCCCCCAAAGCAGAACACAATAGAAGCAGGCAGCTTCCTCCTCGCTACCCAGGATGGGCCCCAGTGGAGTAAAGAACACAGGAAAAAATGGGGCCAACAAAATACCAGAGGTGAGAAAGGTCTGGAGAAGCATTCTGGAGCTCAGGTTGGACATGAACGAGGCCACCTCTGATCCCAGCAGGCTTGTCCTTGCCTATTTCCCCCAATGTGGGTAGCATGCCTATCATCAGATCATGAGCCAGGGGACACTGACAAGGTCAAAGGATGGAGAGCAAATGGCTAGCACTCTGCCCCACTTGGGAAAGTTGCAGGGAACAAGAGGTACACCTTCATCTAGACTTCTCCACTGCCTTCTCCTTCATGCTGCCGTTTGGCAGTGTACGTGAGCAAACCATCCTCCCTCATGCCTCTCCCATCTCTCTGCAGCCACATTTTGAGCAGGACAGGGCACTTCTACCAGCTGGGATATGAGGAATCATGCCCAGGAACCTCAGAAGCTCTCCTCGCCAGCCACCCTCCCCAAGACAGGGAATTCCTCTACTGCCAGCAGTTGTCACAGGAGCATCAAACACGGATGTTTGTGCCAGGCCTCATTTACAGGAGCCCACTCCTCCTGGAAAGATGAATTTTTTTAAGCAAACAGCGTTTACATATGGTAGCAGGCAGAGTCATCTCAGCATCAGGAATCCCCAGCGGAAACGGGAATCAATCCGGGGCAGAGACTGCTAAATAAATGCTGACTGGGTGAGACTCCTCCCTGGAGAAAGAGGAACCTCCAAGTGATAGCTCAGATTCCCCGGCAAGAGTCCCTAAGGACGTCACACTCTCCCCAGCGGGGCACGCTGAGTACTCGGAACTCTGAAAGCACCCTCACCCATCCCTCCGGGAGCTCTTCCAGCCCATGCCACTGGCGTCCTCGCACCCGTTCCCACCCACACCCTGTTCCACCCAGGCCCCTGATGGCCCTACTCGGTGGGGCACAGGCACTCCACTCGTGCAGGATTTCCTGACATCCCAAGGCTCAGGATTCGGGCGGCTAAGGGAAAAAATGCCACCACACAGACACACAGGTAGCCAAGAACTGGGGGAGTGCACGCAGGCGGTACACACAGCTAACCTTGGCCACAAGGACTCAGTCTGGGAGCAATGTGACTACTGGAGAAATGTCAGGCTTGGAAGTTTGAATTACCTGGGTTATTGCCTCCTCTGTCTTTAAGTTTGCCTTTGGGGACTCGGTAAGAGAGAGGAATTCTATCATCTTTGCTGTTACTTCCAGGATGGAGTAAGCAGTTAGGGGCCAACCAAAAGAATGTGCACAGGATGGGGACAGGGCAGCATGTAGGACGTAACTCAGAAATGGGGAAAGGTCATGCATGTTAGCTATAGATGAGGGCAAGAGGCTCCCGCTTACAAATGAGTTAGTAGAACTTAAGTCCAAACTGGGTCTGAGGAGGACCAGACCCCAACCCACACTTCACCTCTGTGGGCTACCCTGCCAGGCACCCCAGGAGATTGAAAGCAAGGGCTCTGAGAGGTGTGTGCTGCCCCCAAAAGGCACTGTCCCTCGGATCCTGGTGGGTGAGAACTTTGAGCTGCCTTCACAGGAGAACCTGTGGTTACCATGGCCTCGGGTGTCTTCAAGTGCAATAAGGAATTTTGGACCCGTTCCAGGCCTTGGCTGGAGTACCACTGGCCTGCCCTCCCCTACATGCATGGGTGTCTGTAACCAATGTGGACACATAGCCAAGTCCACATGGCCCTAGGTGAGAGAGACCAAGGGAGAATTACTGCCTCGCTAAGAGTCAGGGACAGGTGGGGGTCTTGTGTGTGCATGCAAAGCCCCCACCCGCCATGACTGGAGCCAAAGGCAGGAGAAAGACAAGCCACATACCGAGCCCGTTCTCTGCCAGTGCCGCATGGTTGATGTCACACTCGCCCAGGTCTTGCTCTCCAATGTCATTCAAATCCAAGCCGGGCTGGTGGGACCCGTTTCCAAAGTGCCTCTCGTCCTTCTCGGATCCAGTGTCCCCGTTCTCCATTCCATTCTGAGCCTTTTTCAAGGGCATTATTTGCAAACCACTGGGGGTAGTCCTGTAAGACACCGTCTTGGCGGCCCTGTCACCTGCCGCAGTGGGCTTGGCCGGATACCCTTTCTTCGGCTTGGACAGGGAAGGGTTGATTCGCTTCCGTTTATGAGAAGTCCCCTTGCTCTTCCCAGATTCTGAAGGTCTATTGGAGAGTTTCTCCACCGATGGGCCTCGGCTGTCGCGCAGGAGCTTAGAGGCGCTGGCCTGCTTCCCTGACTTGATCCTCTTGTCCTTGGACAGGTGCAGCCCATTGAATTCATCGATAAACTCCTCACAGTGCAGCAGATGGTGCTCTGGCTCCCACGTGTCCTCTGTGCTCCCGTAGCCTTTCCATCGGATGAGGTACTCCCATTTTCCTTTCTTGTTCTTTCTTTTGTCTACAATCCTTTCGACCTGGGATACAAAATGAGAGCCAGGAAAGAGAGAAAGGAAAAAATCAGTCCCAGACAACAAGAACAGCACAAAGCCCTCAGGACAGAGGCTCCGTCCTGGCCAGGGGGCAGGGGGCAAGCTGTCCAACGCCCGTGACACTTTCAGGAGCGTTCAAGGTGGCTGGTTTATTTTAGGACATCACTGAATGGAACCCAAGGTACATGGTCATTTCCCATGATTTACTGACGCTATGCCTGGCTGGTGGCATCTGTCTGTCCATCCATCCAAGGCTTACTCTTGCTTGAAATCACATGGCAAGTTTTCATTAAAGATCTTTATTCTTTTCATTGCACCAAAGTAGAATCAGACTTTTAAAGGCCAATTTGCTGTTGGTTTTTCACCCCTAGTACTACTGCTGCTGCTACTACTACTACTACTACTACTACTACTAATAATAATAATATAATAAATACATAGTATTTATTGAGCATTTATATGGTAGGCACTATGCTGATGTATCCTTACTTATAATAATACTAATGATTAGTAACATTCACTGGGCACATATGAGGCAGACATTACACTAAATGCTGGGCATGGATGTCCCCATTTCCTTTTGTCCTGACAACAACCCAATGCGGTAGGTATTCTTTCTAAGTCCATTTTACAGTGAGGAAACTTGGGTTCAGAGAGATTAAATCACTCACCAAATTCCAAGCTGGTAAAGGCAGGGCTGGGATTGGAACCACACTCCCCCAAGATTTATTTTCTTAATCATTACGCCATATCAACTCTCAATAACAAAAATCTTCCATGTTGATAAAAATGAATTGATTTGTCAAAGCCCAATTCCCCCCATTCAGAGCCACAAGCTGCAACACAGGGGGTGTAACTGAGGCAAGGTGATAGGTAATATTTGCAAAGACCCTATTATGTGCCTTGTATAACCCCATGGGTGTATGTATACTATTATTACTCCCATTTGATAGATGAAGGGATTGAGGATGGGGCAATTCCCCTACAGTGCAGGGCTAAGAGGGGTGAGATCTGAACCTAAATCCATCTGGCTGTAAAGCCATGTGCTACTGTCTTCGTACCTTCAAATGTAAGACAATCTCCTCAAGTAATCCCATGGAAAAACACACTTAGGAAAATGCCAGTCCTAATGCTAATAACCAGTGTATTTAGGTGAAGGGTATGTGAGGGTCATTTATTAACCTTTCAACTTTCCTATAGATTTGAATTTTTTAATTAAAAAAGTGACAGAAAATTGTAATGCTCTACCCCCAACAAGCAAAATTTCAAGAAAAAATTAAACAAATGCATTCAAACATTCATTATATTTCAATGTCAACATAATATACTTTTCTAGAATAGAAATTTGACATTAAGTAATAATCTAGAAACTTATAAGAAGAAAAAATAATATGAGAGGGGAAAAGTGGGTATATACTGTAGTTCAGTGGTTCTCAACCTTCTGGCCCTTTAAATACAGTTCCTCATGTTGTGACCCAACCATAAAATTATTTTCGTTGCTACTTCATAACTGTAATGTTGCTACTGTTATGAATCATAATGTAAATATCTGATATGCAGGATGGTCTTAGGCGACCCCTGTGAAAGGGTCGTTCGACCGCAAAGGGGTCTCGACCCACAGGTTGAGAACCGCTGCTGTAATTAATAATTGTTGAAGATGGGTAATGAGTATGTGGAGGTTCATTATATGACTGTTAACATGTTTAAATTTTTATGTTTAATTTTTTCCATAATAAAAAGTAAGAAAATTTTGAACACTGAGATTTTCTACTACAACAGAGGCTATGCAAAATAATTAAATGACTTCCATTGCTTTGCACTTAATAAATAAGCAAATAGCTAAGACATACTGCTTCTTCGTAGACAATTTTAATTGTCTCCTTAATTGATTAACCTCCAATCAAATAGGCTTACTTCTATTAAAACTTCTTTCCTTATAAAATGCCCTGTGAACATCGTTTTAAGTTTAGTAAATAACTTTTAGCGGTATAACACAAACTCTAACAGTTTTAAAAGGTAAAATCATGCACAACTAATATAACTTCCAATCTTTGGGCCAGGGAATGGGACTCGCTAAATATTCATTTATGACCATGTCCAGGAAGTCAAGAGTGTTTCTGGAAGAGCCTGCAGCTTTGCACAGGTTGACAGAGGGAGGAAAGTGAACAAGCAAAAAGCAGCATTCCCTGAAACACCAACCTACAAGAGTCAGGAGCAAGCCCAGGTATGACTTGGGAGCTAAGGAACTGGTGTTGACAAGAGGGTTTCCAGCCTCAGAAAGCATACGCTTGGCCCCCAGATGGAGAAACTTCTTCCCCAGATGAAGCAGAAAACCACGATAGACAAAGAGCCAACACAATTAATAGGTTAGTAGGTGGATGGGTGGATGGGTGGATGGAAAAATGGATGGTTGGTGGAAGAATAAACAGATGGGAGGATAGTGGAATCAGGGATGAATAAAAGGATGGATAAATGGGCTGATAACTGGATGAATGGGTGATGGGTAAAAGGGTGAGTAGAGAAGTGAATTCTGGAATAAATGGTGGCGGGAGAGCACTCATTCATCCAGTCATCAATCCATTTATCCATCCTTTTATTCATCCCTGATTCTACTATCCTCTTATATGTATTTAAGAGCACAGGCCCCAGAACAAGACTATCTGGCTTAAATCTCCTGCGAAACCTTTTATCATGTGTTCTTGAGCAAGTTACTAAACCTCTTTGGGCCTCAGATGACTCATCTAGCAAGGGGGAAATAACAGTACGTCATAGGGTAGTTGTGGAGAGTATACAAATAAGTAGTTTTGCATTCCCAAAGTAAAGGTCACTTAATTTTGCAAATCCTCCTGTGAATACAAACCGTGATGGTAATCTAAAGACAGATTGTTTCCCTACCTGCAGAATATGACCCTCTTAAAATATGCAATGCCTCCCTGGGAAGAAGACAAAGTCCACCCACTTAGATGGCTCTCACTAGAGCTGCTGGAGAAGCCTGGGGAGTCAGCAAGGGTGCAGTGTCAACACCCCTAACTGGAACCACAACAAGGGTGGGGGGAGGGGCAGCTTGGTTTTTCCCCCTCCGCATTACTGGAGGATTGAGTCACACAGTCACAGAGTCACAAGTGGCTTTATAGGTGACAGAAAGGCCACTGCTTTCACCTCTGGTCCCTTCCACAAAACCACTGCGTGGCTTGACCACCATTTCTACTCAAATTAACCCAATGCCAACAATAAACCATATTAACAGGATTGTCCCTAATAGTCTGATATGTGGGGAGGAAAAACTGTGGGCTCCACCACTTTCTACCCACGTGACCCTGAGCAAATTGCCCAACCTCCCGGCCCTCAGTGTCTCCATCTGTAAAATAGTAATAGCAATAACAATAACAACAATAATAATAGCAATGGCAGCAGCTACCTGAAAGATAATTGGAAGAAAGAGAGGAATACAACGGGGAGAGTAAAGTGCCTTGAACACCACAGAGCACAAGGAGGTGAGCAGAATTGCTCTAATATGTATGAAACTTCAGAGGACAAAAGTGCTGGTATATACATTATTTCCTCCATACTTTAAACATCTTTTTAAAGTTTTTTTTTTCAGGTTTAGAAAAACAATTGTTTTTTCTGAAAGACCAAAATGCCCATAAGGAGTTCATACCCCATCATACTTCGATTGTGCCATCTCCTGGGACTTAATCTCCTCCCTCACATACAGTGTAGGTTTTCTGACCCTCTTCTCCTCATTTTCTCAGAAGCATCACAAATAGAACCAGAATTCTAATTTGTTCTGTTGCTAACAAAGGCCCATGTTATTTATGACGTGATCTTGCGAAGGACTGCAACCTTCTCTGTCCGAGAAATCCTTTCTTCCTCTTAAGCTCCCCCAACCTCTACCACTATCCCCTAACTCCACACACCTGCTGACAACAGAGACCTGGGCCTCCAGAATGCTGGGGGCTGGCTCCTGATGCCCCCATCCCCTACCTGCACAGGACCCCCTCCACCCTCCACGTGGTGACAACCCCGTCAATCCCCTTCCCTTTTCCATGCACTTACTAACCACCATGTGGGTGATATTTTAAAACTTTGTGCTCACACACACCCGCCAGATTCTTATTTCAAAGACAAGCAATCTGAGACCATGGACTATTCCTTAGAGTTCAATCAAATCATTAATAACATTTACTCTCTGTAATCCCAGCTAATATGACATGCCATTCCACTGCAGGTGGGGGCAAGAGAATTCTGATGCATTATTAGTGGTGCCATGATGATGAGTGGATAGCTATCTCATTAGGAAAAATAATGATGGCAATCACCATTATTAGAACACTAGTGGCCCAGTGCACAGATTCATCACATTGAAAGGAAATTAATTAGAAGAAATATTTTAATATCGCTATTCACCCTTTCTCTATAAAAGAAGTGTCAACCAAATTCACAATCGACAATGACAGATCGAAACACATGCATGCGATTGGTGCCAGCAAGAGCTTTATATGCATCGTGCATGGGTGAGTCAACTTAGCCTTTTATATATACAGAATAAACTTGCTTAATTAGACCTGCTTTAACTGAACTTTTTCCAGCCCAGTGAAGCATCCCAACTTCTCTTTCAGGTAATTGTCAGCAACACAGCAGTAAATATCAACACGAAGCAGATTATTATTGTAGATCACGCAGGGAGAACAAAGGGTAAAATATTTAACTGCAGCAGTGTTTGACTATATTCTGGGCAGTGAGAAAACCTGAAGTCATTTTCAAGGTCCACCATTTCTTACTTCTTTTCAGCTGGGTCAAGTTTCTAAACTTTCTAAATCTCCATTTTCCAGCTAATGAAAAGAAAATAGGATTCCACCAAGTTTCCTATCTACCTATTCCAGGACTTCTGTGAGGATCAAATGAGATGAGGCACAGGAAAATGCTTCACAGACATTTGGTTAAAGTGTAAAATGTTTCCACCTGACTATAAAGCAAGTCGTGTT